CGGCCTTGGCCCCTGCTGGGCTTCCCACCGGGCGGGTTCCGCTGGGTCCTCGCCGCTGCCCTCTGCCCTGTGACCCTCCTGCTCCCCGCCCTCCCCTGCTTACCGCTGCTCGAGCCACACTCTGGGCACCTTCAGAGGCTGAACAGGCTTGGCCGAACCGTGCTGCCCTTGGAGGTGCGCCTGCAATCCATTTATCCTCCCGACACACGCATTTGGACTTCTTTTTGATGTCAAATCATTATTCATCTTAATTCTTTTTTCCCGTCGAACGGGAGGCTGTGATCCTCCTGCCTCAGCTTCCGGAGTGCTGGGATTACAGGCGTGCACCACCACTCCAGGCTTAATTCTGTTTTCTTAAATAATTGTTACCTTGTCCTAGAGCTCGTTGAGGGGACAGACTTTCTTTCGACTATTGTGTATCTATCTAGTACCTGACCCCAAGTTATTCCTGGACCACACCACAAGCTCAGTAAATCTTTGTTAAAATTAATGCATATGTGTACTGAGCTACCCACTTAGGATTAAGAGAAAAACAGAAAGGTAAAATATCCTTTAAAATTCTTTGTTATTTTGCTTAAGGTTTTGAAGTAAACTGTTTTTCACTTGAAGTTCCATAATTTAGAATTTTGTGAATGCAAACTTTGAGGGAAAAATGCTAAGAATAAAAACAAAAATGCTAAAAACAAAAACAGTTGAATGATGTTAAAAGATAGGATTTAAATTTCTTAGAGAACAGTTCAACAAATAAAGAAATGGAAGTAGCTATAGCTTTGGAATAATCCGAATTATTAAAAATTTATTTCAGGTTGCTTTTGGCCTAGGCCGGCACCCTGAGGCTGTTGTCCGGAATCATTGTTTACTGTAGGAGTCAGCATTTGTAAAATTAAATGCACCCATTCAGTGAATACTTATTTCTAGACACGTGCCCATCCAGACACCATCTATCACAGCATCTGACCTTGCAGCTGCCTTAGGGATGAGCACCCACTAAATGTACACTGATGGTGGAATACAGTAGGACACTAGCTAATCAGTTTGTCACTACCAAGTCCTGTAGCTTCACCAAAATACGCAGCAGCCATGATTTCCTTTTTAATAATTGATATAAAATCTAATGGGAGCAAAGCTTCATCAAATCTAGCTTGGCCAGAAGTAGCAGTATGAATTCATTCCTGCCTTGTTTTCAAATGTGGGTGGGACAAAATGATATTTTCAAAGGACAGACAAATCACTTTTTAATCAGTCTGCCCCAGTTTGCGCATAGTCACAAACTATTTAATTTAAACCTTCTTGCTTTTTTTCTAACCCATATTCTAATATCACTGAATAATTACATTTTTGCTACTTCAGTTTTATTTCATAAAATATATTCTAATATTTTTCTCATGAATTGATGCTATCTAATTTTACTCCTAATCTGTTTAACAAATAGATTTCATAAGTCCAGATAGGTGGTCGTGATTTAGTCTGACACCAGGAGGGACAGCCTAAACAAGGGTTAAAGATTAAATTGAAAACATGATTCCTTTAAGGTAATGGCTCAGGAATGCCATTTAATCAGGGGCTGAGTTCACTCCAGCCTCAGAAACTCTCCGTTACACTTACACGTTCACATTACATTCTTAATGCTGGCTGACCTCTGCAAGAATCTCAGAATATTTTCTATAGAAAACATATGTGATAATGTCTGATTTCAGAACAGAGAAGTAATTTCTTCATAGCAAAAGGGTCAAGTAGAGTAGGCAACTAGTAATTAAATTCTCTTGACCGTTAAAAGAAAATTAAGGGAAAAATGAGAGAACATAACTTCTCAAATAATAAAACATACTTTGAATATTTACTAGTTTCTCACTAAGGAAATAAAGAGAATGCAGTAAAATGGCTTGAAATATAAGGATAAGATATGTAAGATCGGGACGGAAAGGCCTGTCATGTTTGACCATGAGTAGCAATCTGAGAAGATAAAGCAACTGAGACATGGGAGAACATGATGTTTTATCGATATTATTTGTCTTTAAGGGTCCCCTATTTTTCCTTCAAAAATTAAACAGTTCATTCATTCATATTTTTTGACTCTGTTACTTGATTGCAAGTTCTATGAAAGCAGAAATCAAGGACTGTTGTTTATATCCCCAGTGACAGTTAAATCTGTATTTGTCCAATGAATTTTAATATAAGACTTGGAATCCAAGGTTTCCACTCTGGTTTCCAGGTGTGATTCTTCTTGGTGGGAGACTTGCCGTGGGCCTCACACCTCACACCTCACACCTCACCCACTGCCTTTTCCTGTCTGTTGCCCCAGTGGAGCCGATGGTGAGCATCTCCCTATCCAAGACAGAGGCCCTGAACCATCATAACCTGCTGGTCTGCTCGGCGTGGGATTTCTATCCACAGCAGATCAAAGTCCAGTGGTTCCGGAATGGCCAGGAGGAGACATCTGGCGTCGTGTCCACACCCC